ATAAATTAGATGAAACTAGGTAGTCTTAGTACATCTATAGTCTGAGTCTCATTCTTGTAAACAATTTGTAAACTTGATCTTTGGTTAAAAAAACCTTTTGTGGATTCTTAATACAAATTATAATAAAAATAAAGACAAAACCTCACCTTAAAAAAAATAAAAAATAAAAAATAAATGTAATATTAAACAATATGCTAATAGCATTAGAAATTTTAATACAAGAAGTAATAAAACAATAAAGAAATATAAATATTATTATTAAAATTTATAATAAGAAGAAAATCAATTCTTTTTATATTTTTTATAACCAATAAATCAAAGTTTAAAGCTTTATATAAAGTGTAAAAAGGCAATATTTTTATGTTTTAGAAATATATATAAACTTACAATAATTTCAAGTATTTATTTCTAATTTTAAGTTTATTTCTGTATTTTTTTTTAGACTTTGCATATGTTTCTAACTTTAGTTCAACTAATCTATTTTTTTCTAAGTCAATTTTAAGAATATCTTACTAAGCTTTAGCTTTTATTTAATTTTTACTTTATATAAAAATAAATAAATAAAAGAAGTATATATATAAAAATAAATAAGAATAACAAATAAAATAAATATCAGATTATATTTATACTTTTAAGCTTCATTCTGTATTTAGTTTTACAATATCTTAGTAGTTTATTGTTTACTTTTCTTTATTATTACATCTTTGCTATATAATTAAGATTTTATAAAAAAATTATGATAGCAATAATAGATTTTGAATTAAAAGTTTTTATACTAATTAGATAGGTTTGAATCAAAATTCTAACAATCAGAATCCTAACAGGTTATAATCTTAACAAAAATTCTAATAGCTAACAATTTTGACAATTAAAAATCATAATAGTTAAAAATTTTGACAATTAAAAACTCTACAAAATATCATAAATTATAACAAACTTATTTTAAGCATTTATTTTATTTTAAATAAATCTTATATTTAGAATTTTTTATCTAAAAATTTTTGTTATCAGAATTTTAATTGTTAGAATATTTAACTATTGAGATTTTTTTTGTTAGAATTATGATCTGTTAGAATTCTGTTTGTCAAGATTTTGACTCACATTCAATTAAATAATAATGATTAATTAATCACATATCAGAACAAACATTTTATAGATTATAGATATATATATATGTTTATTTATTATTTCTATATATAATAAAATATACTAAAAAAACAAAATAATAATATTAATCTTTAATATTACATATACATGTTTGTTAAAATATATTTTCTTAAACTATTTATAAAGTGAAAAATAAAATTAAATGTATATAAAAAATCAATTTTTTTTTGAAAAAAATTTTTTTTTTACTTAATAAAAGATTCAAATAAATATATTTTAACATATATATTAATGTAAAATTTTATATTAAACAAATTTATTTAAAAAATCAAAATAGGTTATTTTAGTAAAAAAAATATTTATTTTTAACATATAGTTAACTTATTTTTATACTAAAATAATTTATTTTTGTCTTTTAAGTAAAAATATTAGTATATAATTTTATATATAATAATTATTTTAAAATTAAAAAATAATTATTTTTAAAGAAGTTACATCTTCAAAATAAACAGAATTAGCAAAATTTTAACTTAATTTTTAAGTTAAATTTTTTCTTTTTTGTTCTATATAATTACAAATTTTAATTTTAAGTTACTTAGTTAAGTTAAAAAAATTTTCAATTCAAAGTTTATAGTAAATTCATATATTTTTATTATAATTTTTATTATAAGAATTAATGTATTTGTAACAACATGTTACACGTAACAACCTCGGATTAGCCAATAGTAGTTAGAGTTAGGGTTTGGGTTACACGAAGTTTTGGTTATTTTTATTGGTCGTACTAATTTAGTTGTTACAAATAAGCGCGTAACAGGTTGTTACAATTAGATTCGTCCTTATTATAAACAATATTCTAAAAAAAATATTCTTTGTCTAATAATATAAATGTTTAAATCAAAATTAAAAACATAACTAAATATCTGTTATTCACTTGATTGTTGTAATAAAATCAGGTTCTTAAAGGATTAGTTTGTTTGTTTTTTGTTTTTCTGTAGTAGATAATTGTCTCTAATATGTCAGATGCTTCTGTGTCTATTAGTCTTTTGTGTTTGTTAACTGTTCTAAGTTCTTCTTCCAGGATAGCTGTTTCTTTTCACTTTTTTCCGAATTTTGTGTATTTTAGTTATCAGCGGAAAGAGTTTTTTATTACTATTATATATTAAATTTAGAAACTCTAATTTGAATACAATTTTATAAATTTACTGCATTTCAAGTTTATCTGTAATGATTGCTATGATAACGCTCTTTCATCAAATTTCTTTTATTCATGATACAGAAGTTACTTGAACTGGTATTCGTGTCCTATACTAACAGACAGTTGAGTAATTTTTCTTTGATATATTATGAACATTTTATTTAAACTTTTCTAATATTATTTTCTATCGTATCTTATATTAAAATTGTTTTCGGTTCAACATTATTTTACTATATATATTATTATTTATATTTAGCAAAAGGTTGCATATCTTCAGTTTTATCCATTTTTCTATTCAGAATTTCATTAAAAATTTATATTAATACAATATCCATATTCTTTAACAATTAATTCGGAGATCGGAATACTAAATTTTCTATTTGAGGGAATTCATAAGCCCGTTATCGTTATTGGTTAATTATGAAATAAAGCAGCTTAAAAAATATTAAATCTATTTTTTTTATGTGATCAAGATCATACATTTTCATTGTTATTCATGCAGTTATAGCAGTATAATTCTTTATTTAAAAAAAAAAAGCGATTTAATCTCAGCATTTTCCGTTATTACGAATTAAATTCTAAAAAATGAGTCAGCAACCAGCTTTAGGAACCATTCATCATTTTTATATTTCCGTTTCTGATTATGAAAAGAGTGTTGAGTTTTATGATTCTTTTCTTCCTAAACTCGGTGTGTAAAAGATAATCAATGAAAATTTATTTTCTTACAATAACATCCCATTAAACTACTTTTTATATAGGTTACAAGATGCTTAGAAATAACAGCTTGTGTACTTGTTGGGTGAACCAATATCTAAGTCAATTCGGTATTGTACGAGCAAAGGAAGAATATAAAGACATTAAGCATATCAGATATGCGGTTGGATATCACCATTTGGCTTGGAATGCCTCTTCTAAAGAAGATGTTGATAAATTCTATGAATTTTTGGTTGATAAAAATTACAAAATTCTAGATGCTCCAAAGGACTATAATTATGCACCTGTCTATTACGCTGGTATGTCTATATTATTTTTTATGATTTATTCATATAAATATATATTTCTCTGATTATTAATTTCGGTGTGAATTTCATATTCTCTTTTTAAAGTCTTTTGGGAAGATCCGGATGGTTTTAAACTTGAGCTCTGTTACGTTCCATTTCCTTATGAAAGTGAAAATAAACAAGAATAAGGTTGATAAATTTTAAAGATTGCAAAGGTTCTTTGTAATGTGGTCTTTCTCTTTGAATAAAATTTCTACATGTAACTGAATACATGTTCATGTTTACCAATCAGCAAAGATTAATAAAATTTGATTTTATTTGTTAAAGATATTATATATGAGCATAAATGTATTTTCTGCTTGTTATTTTTTTCACGATTTACGATTTAATCATGTTTATTCAAATTAAAACTCAGCCGACAACTCCCTATTTATCATGATCATAAAATTGTCGCAAATTTACTCTTGAATATTTCAAGCGCCTCGCTTTTTATTAATATTGATTGAAAATATACAAGTATTCAACTAGTACTACTAAAACTGAGATTCAAATGCTTCATGACCCTACAAAAAGCTTTACATAAAATCTTAAAGGTGTTTCTTTTAATTATTATACTGAAACTAAATGTTGAACAAATTATACATCTAAAAAAAAAATTTCGAAAATGTATTGCCAAGAAAATCACTTACAACTCAACGAGTTCTTGATAAAATTGACTAAAATTAAGAGTCTAGTGCTAAATGACCCATGAACAACTTTACTTAAAGTTGTAAAGATTATTCCTTTTGACCATTATGCCGTAATTAAGCGTCAAGCCGGTTGTATGTCTAAAAAATTTTCGAAAGATGTATAGTCATGAAAATCAAGCATAACTTTGAGATCTTGATAAAATTGGCTGAAAATTAAAATGTGAGGGCTGTTAATGAGCCTATAGAAAAATTTACTTAGATTAACTCTATACCGAAGCTAAGCGTCGAACAGATCGTACGTCTAAAAAAATTTTTCGAATAATATTTCGTCATAAAAATCACTCATAACTCAACGAGTTCTTGATAAAATTGGCTAAAATTAAGAGTCTAGTGCTAAATGACCCATGAACAACTTTACTTAGAGTCGTAAAGATTGTTTCCTTTGACTATTATGCCGAAAGTAAGTATCAAACAGGTTGTACATCTAAAAAAAAATTTCAAAAAATGCATTGCCATAAAAATCGTCCTTAACTCAAAATGTTCTTTGTAAAATTGGCTGAAAATCGAGATTCGAGTAATTCACGATCCCGCTAAAAAACTTAGAATCATAAAGGTTGTTTTCTTTCGAAATTAAGTGTCGAATAGGTATGTATCTAAAAAAAAAAAAAAGTGGAATGTAGAAATCAATTCAACTTTGAATTATAAATAACGAAAGTTCAGATTTTAGTTCACATATACTTTTACAAAGAAAGTGGATATTGAGGGATTATAATAAGGGTGTACGGTCCGCAGTATTGCATGAACAATTAACAAAAAAGGTACATTACGAAGTATGTAGCGCAAGTGTTTAACATAAAATTTATTCGCATATCGTTGATCTGACTATCTATGAGTATCAGAAAATAATACCGAAAAAAGAAATCGATAATTCCCTAACCGAGTACCCCATTCTTAGAATAGTGTACTCAGCCGAAATTGAACCTCCAAACCTGGATCAGAGAATCTGCCAAGCCGACATTCAACCTCTTTGAACTATGTCCGAATAATTACCTAATCAAATTTATATGATCTTTTAAAACTATTATTATGTATTAGTGTTACTAGATTGTCCAATCACATTTTGCTGTAACAAAAATAATCATCTTATAATATACTCATGCATTTGCCTACCAGTCACACATCTAAAATTGTATTATATGTTCTTTATTACACAAATCGACTTTTAAGTTTTTTGCCTAAACCCTTAGCCAAAATATGCTGCATTTATTAAAATCAAGTTGTTTTAATGAACTCGACGATATAAGATTATGAAAAAAGAACACTTCTTTATGAAATTTCATGCATAGAACATGGGAAATTATTTTATCAACTTCCGTTTAGTTCTTCTCAAGTTTGTAAATTCTCGACGTAAAAAGTGGTTGACTAGTGCGCTAAAGCTCGTGAAAAAGTTTTCTTTTCGATATTTATAATGCATATTTACTTATTTAATTTTATTATCTTGCTAAATCTAGCAATGTATTCGTGGACATTAGATCATATTATGGTGGCTTACTATTTTGATAAGCTATTTAGTTTGATTTCATTCACCGTTCAACTTAATTTCAATCATTTTGTTTAAGATTATTGATTAAGCAATTACGATTATATTATTAGATATGTGCCGCGTACAGTACTATACGTACTGTATGCGAAACATTTTGCCGATCCTTTCTATCAGCCAATCAAATCGCTAGATATACGACTGTACGCACTGTCGATAGATGCTTCACAAAAAAAGCATCCGTATCACGTGGCTCGAATATGATTGGTTGATTAGTTGTTGTTGGTTGGTGGAGAAAAGTTCCGCATAGAAAGACAATGAACGTAAATTACGAGCATGGTGAGGTAAAATTTTTATTAAACAAACGAGAAATTCCGAAGGTTACAAGGAAATTAAATAAATCGCATCTTCTATTTAAAATTTTCGCATAATTGAACTCAATCGCATTGCATAATTTACCCTATCGCATCGCATAATTCTGGAAGTTAAGGTAAGTGCCCGTAGACTGGCCGGGTTCCAATCGAGGACGCGTCACGTGATATTCCGACCTATTTATTTCATTTATCTATGCTATTTATAACGAAACTACTCTATAAGTAACTTTTTTTAACAAATTTATATAGGAACTTAATCAATTACTTTTATAAAGAACTTTTAAAAGTTTTACTATAAAAACTGATAGTTCATTCTAGAAAGCTAACTATATAGTTCCTTTTTCATTTGTTTGTTATTTATATTTTGACACAAAATAAAGGTAATCTTAGATATAGAAATACAAGAAAACACGATAAACAAATGAGTAAAACTTACCCACATTATAATGAAATCCTCAAGCTGGGAATACTGTAACTTACTTTATATCAGGTTGAAATTTAATAATTCCGTAATTCGAAGCTATTTATTATGTCAAGAGTTCACTATAACAAGAATGATCTGTATTTAGGCAGACTGTTTCTTTTTGTTATTTATCTCGTGAATATATTTCAAAATTCTATAATCTTTTATAGCCTCGATCGAATTATTTATTTATTTGTGTCAATTTGGTTCATGAATACATATTCGTTTATAAACTCGAAGCATACTATAACGAACCTCTTTATAATGATCCCGAACGTGAAATTTTAAATTTATATTAGTTGAGTAGTTTATCTTAGAACTCTACAGTCTTTTATAATTTTCATTGAATTATTTATTTATATTGGTTTATGAATTCAGATTAATTTATAAATCCAATTACAGCCAAAGCTTGCTGTAAAGAACTTTCTATAATAATCCTAAATATAATGAATGTGGAAAATGTAGATTTGTATATTCGATAATTTGATATCATTTGTACAATTCAATGCAAGTTTTATAATTCATTTTAAATCTGTTCGTGATTATTAGTCAGTAATTAAACTTAGAATATGTCTAACTGCTTATTCTGAACCAATTATAGCGTATTAGTACCGTATATAACAGTTAAGAATCCTTTTTAAAAAAAACTTATTATATTGTTTCACAATTACACTCAGGCGTTATTTTTAAGTGCACAATGTCAGAGAACTAAAATTTATTTTTTATTTTTTTAAAAAGCATCTTTGTAAATTAATTCCCAACTCTCTGGGAATTGTAACGATGTGAGCATTATTTTGCGACATATTCAAAAAAAAAACTAAAAAAAACATGAAAAATAAATTTTGAGCAAAAATTTTTGAAATCGAATTGCAAGGTCGGAATATCACGTGACTGCGCCCTCGATTGGCGGCCATCGAACCGGCGTCGGTATTTTGGTCGCTTCTCAAACAGATACGTCGTGTAACCTACGAACGGCTTAGTCAATAAGAGGCGGTTAGATTTGGCGAGTGGTATGTTTATGATCGTAGGTTTTACA